ATGATAGGGTCTTGTTTGACTGAGTATCATAAAAATATAGTCAAATACTATTTATATGTTTTTAAAATATTTAATATTGAAATTACAACAGCGCTCTCAAAATCCTTATCTTTTTTTTTTTATTTAATACTCGAAAACATTTTTTCAGATTAAAAAAAGGCCAAAATGGACCAAATTTTCTAGCATACTCTTTTTACGACAAAATATCTCTGAATGATTTTTATGGATATGAGGAATTCCTAAACTGCGAAGCACTACTATACACTGAGAAAACGAAATATTTATTATTAAGAAATCAAAACAGTTGCGATTTTTTTAAAATATATGTTAACTATTAAAAAATTTCTTAATCGTGAACAAATTATATACTAATTATTATAATATCGTCCAGTAATGGTGTTTCAGACAAATAAAGGGTAAAGTTGTCTTAGAACTGTGATATATTAACAGTTAATATACCTAAATTCGAATAAAACGTTTTAACATTTGTCAACATAATTTTAAATGCATTATGCGGAAGCATGTGACGTTGCCGTAGTTTTTTACAAAATGAAATTTCGATATATTAACAGTTAATATATCTACATTTGCTAATACGTTATGAGCTTCTTTAATTCAACTTAACCAGTTCTTAGACCCAAATTAATATTTCTTTCGCCAAATCCAACTCAACGATATGTTAATAGTTAACGTGCCTCGTTATTAACAAATATTTCGTTCTCTCAGTGTACTCTATTTTATTGGCTGTCTTTGTTATATGTTTTCATGACTTGTGTAAGTAGATCTGTAGATATCTATAGTAACATGAATAATTTATTATTATTAATATTATTTTTATTATTATTATTATAAATAAAGCCTACTTTGAAAAGTTGACGTTTGCAAATAAAAATTTAAACGGATGCATTAAATATTTCAAAAACCCCTCGAATCGACATTTTTAGCGTAAAAATGGTGAGAAAATTGATATTTTAATAAAAACATAAATAATCAAAGGCACGAAAAAGTTACACTTGTTTTTACGTACCCAAAGTGTTGCAGAGAGCGACCTTCACAATCCACATGAAATTTATTAACAAATTAAATTTTCCTCGACCCAGCAAATCTCCAATTACAAAATTGTATGCAAAAATATTAATTTAAAATAAGGAAAATCCAAAATTAATTTTTTAATGGTATACCTTGTATCTCGGTTACTATCAACTTTTGAACTAAGCTAAGTTTGGTCAAATCGTAATATTTTTAGCCAAGGTTTTATTTTTTACCATTATTTATGGAACACCCTGTATATGAACTTTTATACCACTACACCACCGGCCTCGGTGGTGTAGTGGTCAGAGCTCCTGGGTACGAGCCGAGAGGTCGTGGGTTCGAATCCCACTTGGGTATGGTTGTTTATTTGTGTTTGTCCATTGTGTATAGTCCTTCGGAGGGGACTTTAAGCCGTCGGTCCGTTCCTACCCCTAACCCGCACAAGCCATTCAGTTGGCTTATGGGACATCTTAGTTTGGATGTAAGGGTGTAACTAAAAGAGCACTTTATAACTTTATAACTTTATATAAAATGTAATAGACTTAATTATTATCATGTTGTTTAATAATTGGGTAAAATGCACAAAGGCTAAACAAAACATTTTATGAACTTGGTTATTAAACCATATAATGTTATTATTCAATAAAAAATAAATTTAAATACAATTTATATTATGCAATTTTTTTGTTTGTATTAAAATAATTATATTAATTAATTTATGTACCGGCTATTTATTTTAAATGATTTTGAGTTAGGTATACTTCTAATGACCAAAGACCGGATTTTAGGCCGTTAAAATGGAAATTAGGACACATAAATAGGCAATAAAAACCTTGATTTTCGGCCGATTTAGGCCGAGTGCCTAAAATAAGCCTCAACCGCCTAAAATAGGCGATATGAAATAAAAACAACACGATTGAACATAACATTTATTCAGGTACTATCAATAAAATTAAAACAAAACATATTTCTCTCCTAATATAAAATACACAACAAAAATAATAACACAAACTCTAGCAAACAATGGCCCGTATGAATAAAAAAAAAGGAAAATCTTATACTTGTTAAATTTAAAGCAAATCTTCGCCAATATGAATAAACAAAAAAGTAAAATATCTTACTTAAAATAATAAGTAAATTAATTTACTATTACATTACTATTAATGAAAACCAATTTTGCTTAACTGTGAATACCATGTACAGGTTTATATTATATTTGTTAATACAAAAAAAATGTTTATAAAATTCGCAGAATTAATTGGTTAAATCAACAAATTCAGTAAAAAAATATATTATATTACTTATATGGAAATTTAATGGAATACAATAAAACCTATGAAAACAAAATAAATAATATAATATAATAATTATTTATAATAAATATTTAGATATAACAAAAACACAATTACTTTTTTTATTAGGTTTTCACTAGTTTTGTAATTTGTGGTCCTCGTAATAGCTAAGGGCGTCTAGGCAAAATAAGAGCAAGAAAGCAGGGCCTTATTAAAAATAATTTATTTTTTCGCAAAGAAAAATATATTTTTTTCTAAAAAAATTAAAAGAGCCTATTTTAGGCTCATAAAAATGTCCTTTTGGGACAATAAATCAAAATTTCGCCATTTTAGGCTTTTAGGCAAAAACAAAGGGGTGCCAAACGCTTTATTTTTTTAAGTTTAGGATTAATTTCAAATGCCCAAAATAGAAACAAAAAGGCATTTTGCCTAAAATCCGCTCCTTGCTAATGACTCCAAAAGTATTCGCCTAACGAAGGGTTAAAAAAATGATTTGTGTGATGGATTAAAACTATATATTACAGGTACAGTTTTTAAATGGCCCCTGTTGGATCATATTAAAGTCCAATTTAATATGATTCTGGTGCATAAATAATAAGAATTATGTTTTTATCCAATTTCGTATTTCAATGGTATTTAATGTCATTAACCAACTCATATCTTAGATACCATTTTGTTTTCATTAATTTTTTAATATACCAAAAACTTTTTTGGAACTTTATATACAGGGTGTCCCAAAAGTCAACGATATCCTTTGAAGAACTAATAGGTCAGCTCATGACTAATCAGAACATCAAAACATGACTTTAGTAAAAAATCATTAGTTTTTAAGATATTGGCATTTTTATGAATTTTGTGAAACTTGACACCTAAGATCAGGTTTTCGAGTGCCACAGCTATAAAATTCTATAATCTTAGATTATATTTTATGTTGCGTAACCCTGAATAGGCCTGATATTAATTAAAATTCAAAATTAAACCAATAGTAGATTTTGTAGCTGTGGCACTCGAAAAACTAATCTAAGGTGTCAAGTTTTACAAAATTCATAAAAATGACTATATCTCAAATACTAACGATTTTTTACTAAGGTCATATTGTGATTTTCTGGTTAGTCATGAGTTGGTTTATCAGGATATCGTTGACTTTTGGGACACCCTGTATATATATATGGTAAATGTTATATATTTCAATTTAAATGTAATATATTTGATTATAAGCATAACTTTGGATAATGAAACATTCACAGAGAGAATTTGTAACAATTCATAGCTTCCGCATACAGATTGATTTAAATCTTCCACGTACGTGACATTATTATCCTGAATACATAAATTTTGCTTTACGACACTCCAGAAGAACGTTCCCGATGTCCATACCGCTTATTTAATACTTAAAGAAAATAGATTCCATATTAACTGGAATTTGGCATTCGAAAAATATAAATCAGTAAACAATATACAAATTTAACAATGGAGACTTATTAGTTTCTATTTGGTCATTGGTTTTTCCCGTTATTATTATTTAAAATTACGTAAAATAATAAATGTATACAGGTAAATTATTTAACCCTCGAGCGGGCGCGTTGGTGCAAATGTGCTACCAATAATACTTAATAAGGGCTTGGGGCATGAAAAAGTGTTTTATTTGTTTTATAGCTCTTAGTATCTTCCTAGATATTGATGACGAAGGGTTAGTTAAGTTTGTTTAGTTTAAATTTTATTAGTGTGTGTTGTCTACAGCGGTTTAAACTTAATTGGAGCAATTTTGATACCACGCGCCTAATGATGTAAGTATATTTTTAGTTGATTCTTTTTTAATTGTGATATTTTTTCTGTTGTTACTAGTTTTATATTGCTAAAAAATATCATTTACCATTTTCTGTATAATAATAATAATATTATTTTTATTTGCATTCCTAATACAAGTATATTGAGTATATAAGAGCACAGTGAAAGTACAATTTCGTGTTACAAATATAAAACAAATTTAGTTTAAAATGATGAAGATGATAATATTTAAATGTTTAATAAACATATAAAACTAAGTATTTAAACTTTATTTATAGTATTTACTGCTAAAACACTATTAAAGCTGTTTTAAAACTATAATTTACAGCTGGTAGCATATTAGCACCACGCGCCCACTCATGAAATATTATAGGACGCGCCCGCTATAGGGTTAATAATGTTTCTTGATTGGATTCTGAAGAAGATACTGTGACAGCGACACAATTGTTAAGTTAAAATAAAATCGTGAAACTCTAATGTATTGATGGTTTTCCGGGATCTGCTCTTTGTCGGATTTTGGTCCTTAAAAGGACTGTATGTCTGACGACGGTTGAAAGTTTACCTTAACGTTTAGCCCGGTTGGGTTGATTCTAGATTCCTTTAGACCATATTAGTATCTTTGATACAATTTGCCGTGTGCAGTCTTGGTTGCATAGTATGTACCGATTGCGGCCACGTCGTTAGACGGTGTGGATCACGTGATGTTCTTACATCTCGCCTCTGTTGGCCTACCAACGCAGTATATAAGCTGAGGAAGTCCTTTGTTTTGGGTGTGTTCCACTACACCAAGTTGACCGACACTCATGAGACCCAATATAGGTCGAAACAGCTGTATGTCGGCATTTGAAGTTGGTGGAACGCAATCAAAATAAAAAACTTTGGCGAGGTGAAGGTTCAATTCTTTCTCATTTTTAAGATCTTTAAAATACATACTATTTAAATACTTTTAAATTTTATTTTTTAAACAAATTTGAAATAGTTTCTAAAAACATTAAACACCAAATTAGTTAAAAAAAAACACAAAATCAATACGTGTAAACCTTTATTTTATTTTTAAAAACATATATGTATTTGAAAAAATGTTATGTTTATTGGTTTATGTTGTTAAATGAAGTAGAACTAAAAAAAAAATATTTATTATTATTATAGTTAGTTCGTGAAACATTAAAACTTACATTTGGTTGCTCAAATAAACAGTATACATAATAGTTATATGCTTCTTTACAAAAATCATTGCTTGTAACTAAAATAATATATTAATAAATATAACATATTTTAAAATTTCTTAAATACTTACAATTAGTAATATGACAGGGCCTAGAAATGTTCAGCCATAATTCTACAAATTCTTTTGGATTACTTTCAATAAAATTTTGCTCATCATATACTCCCGTGTTAGGATCCAACTAAAATAATAAAAATATTGTAGATTAATAAACTTTGGCAAAGTAAAGTCAAGTCATAAGGGTGACCGAAGATGTCTGAAGATATTAAGATGCAGTAGTAAATTGTCGTTTCTAAGAAACGGTTTCTTGTATACCCAATAATTGATTTTATGTTATTATGCGTCTTTTTTAATGTTACAAAAAACTTGTTTATTTTTACTTACCACACCAAATTCTACCCAAATACATTCAATAAAACATTCAATATCTTTTCCTTTTGGAATTTCATCCTTCGTCTTAGCCTCAATGGCTTGATTTAGTTTATCTAAAAATAATAATTTAGGTTGTGTTTTAGGATTAAAAAATTTAACTTTAATTAACAAAACTAAAAATATTAAATAATAAACATTTTAAAGCTTCGTTTTTGAAATACAGGGTATTAAAATTAATAAAAAAAACGTCACTGCTCCTTTATGAATTAAATATAATATTTTTGTATCCAGCATGTTTTATTTATCTTGCTTAATTTTCAATTTAAAAATTAAATTGGTTTATTCGCTCGCGAGCATAATTTTTCCAGGGGCAAGCAAACTTTATTTTTTTCTTAAGAATTAAACAAGATACTGAAAAAATTAAGTAGAGAAAAATCATGTATTTTTTCTTTCTTAATCTAAAAATATTATTAAACTAATAAAAAAGCAATTGCGTACCCAAAGATTAACAATATTTAATTTTTATTAAATTAAACCCTCTACCCATTACTAAAAACTTAAAAAGTTTTATTCAATTCAGTCAAGGAGTTTTGAACATTTTTAAAGAAACAATATTTTTTATAACTTTACCATCGTAAAAAAGTACATAATATATATATATATATATATATATATATATATATATATATATATATATTTATATGTTCACCCTGTATCTCGCTTTACAACATAAACTTTTCTTCTTAAATTTTTCTGATTAAAATCTGAAGGTGTATATAATTTATTTCAACTGTACCTTCTGAAAGTCCAGTTCGAATTCTGCAAGTGTTCTGAGCACGTTTAATCAATTCAGTAACTTCATTAGTCTAAAAAAAGTAAAATTTATTTAATACGGTCAATATAATATAAACTAAATATAATATAATAGAATATTAACTAAAAAATCTTATCTTAGTTACAAAACATCTAGGAGTTAATAATATATTATTTTATTTTTTTGTGTTTTTTTATATAGCTATAGGGCCATTCCACGCTTAACGGATAGGACAGTTGCCGTGTTTTTATTTACAAAATAATATTGTTCTATTATATTACCAATGTCAAATTTTTATAAATAGTTCTAAACAAAAGCTGTTTAACAAGGTTTTTATTTGGCAAAATTAGGTATCGTGATTGACTGTTTAATTCCTTAAAAATTAATAATTTAAAGCGTAACGGGCGGGACTATTGCAAAGTCCCGTCCGTTACGCTTTAAATTATTAGTTTTTAAGGAATTAGAGAGTCAACCACGATACCTAATTTTGCCAAATAAAAACCTCGTTAAACAGCTTTAGTTTAGAACTATTTATAAAAATTTGACATTGGTAATATAATAGAACAATATTATTTTGTAAATAAAAACACGGCAACTATCCTATCCGTTACGCGTGGAATGGCCCTATAGCAAAAATTTAACAGTTGTTAAACAAACTTATGTATATTATTTATACTAATTATTGTGTATTATATTATGTATAGGTATACCTGTACATAATATAACATTAATGTATTAATATTTTATCTTACCGTGCAATATGTTACAAAAAATGTAAGGGCTATAGCAAAAGTTAATAAATTCATTTTGTTCTTTAAGTTACTATTTACATGAGCTCGTTTGTAGTATATATAGTCTGTAGTCTGCATATATTGCATTTTAAAAATAAATATTTATAATTACTTTCAAAAAATTTAATTAGTTTTATAATATATTCAAATTTGGGCAAAGTAAAATGAATATTACCATTTGCAATAGATAGAGAATAATTGTATAAAATAAAAATAAATAAATATTATTAAAAAAAATTTCTTAATTTTCCAATTATTGACATAATACAATTATACATAATAATTATGTATAATTAGAATATAAATTGTTCTGTGTTGTTTTTTATTAATTTGTGTATTAGAAAATAGAAAAAAGACAGAACAAACATAACAGTTTATTTACTGTTATAAAAATGTATAAACTTAAATTTAGTTGTGTGGTTTTATAGGTGATACAAATTTAAACTCATTTTGTACCACTATCAAAATAGTATATTATGTATCAAGTTTGATAAACGCCATTTTATACACGAATTTAATTTAGGCACGAGCGAGCTTGCGAGCGAGTGCTTAAGTTAATGAGTGTATAGAAAAGTTTATAAACGAGGTGCATACTATATTTTTTCTACGACAAATACTTATTATTATCTTAAAATGACTTAAATCAAAAATTTGTATAGAGCGCCATCTATGAAACAACAGGGGAAACTGTCAAATGTCACATTTTTACATTTTATAAACACAATTATAAAGGTTATAAATCTAAATGTATATTGAAAATTGACAGATTTTCACAGTGAAAGTAAAGGAAATGTTTTATGAGGACTTTACAGTAGATTCCGTGCCCGAATTTAGGTTATAGGTTACTGCCGGCGAAATTAAAAGGTCAGTACAATGTTCATATAAACTTTTAAAATATTGGCGTTGAGAAACTATTTAATATTTTTGTATTTTTGTATTGAGATAATAAAATAATTTTCACAACTTGTCAATGTGTATTTAAAATGGAAACATGTACGATAAAGGGTGTTTTAAAGGGGAGTAGAAAAAATAAATTTGAAGCTGTCGCACCTATTATAATATATACCTATTATAAAAAATACCTATTATAATATGTATGAAATGTTCTTTTGAAGAATTTTAATTTTTTTGTATCATTCAGAAAATAAATTTAAATCTATTTTATCTGTTCTGTTCATAATGAAAAATATGCATAACGCTAGTCATGTTATGAAACAGTTAATTTAATATAACTTATGACATGTCAACATAATCATAAATAACAAAAATCGTATTAAAATTTTAAGGTTGTATTAAAAAATTGTATGTCCTGACAAAATAAAGATGGCTGATTTGGCTTTTATACCCCTCATATAATAATTTGTACAGATAATTATCGCAATTATGCGACAGTGGTGTAGAAAATACACCAGGACAAGTAATTAAGGGTTATATATACTGGTTAAAAAAAATCGACTTTTTTTTTTAGTGCCAGAGGAAATAAGGCCCCTGTTAACATTTGAGCCCTTAATATTAATATTTAGTATTTAGGGCTTCCATTTTTTCATTGAATAAATATGGGAACATAATAATTATTTATTTAAGTTATTTTTGAATTTTGTAGCTTAGTAACAGGGTAATGTACTTATATAAATGCCCGATACATATTTTTTTGGATATGCTTCATAAAAAAGGTCTTTTATAGTTTTTTTATAAAATACCCTTTCAAAAGTTGTTAAGGTTAAAAATGTGTAAAAATTTACTTTTTTAGATAAACAAAGAAAATACTAGACTTATTACAAAATATGTTTTATTACTAAAACTATTATATGTGGCATTAAAAAAAGGAATCCAATTTAAAACATTTTTAACCAATATTTAAATTCCAAATTTTTTATTAACGTTTATCTGACTAAAGTGTCACGCTTTAAATAATATAATACGGGTGACGTTCACAATATCGAAATTCATTATATCGAATTCAAAATATCGAACACTTTTTATCGAAAATCAAAATATCGAAAATACAAAATGTCGAAAATCAAAATATCGAAAATTAAAATGTCGAAAATGATAATATCGAAAATTAAAATGTCGATTTGAAAATGTCGAATAATTAAAATTTCGAAAATTAAAATGTCGATTTGAAAATGTCGAATAATTAAAATTTCGAAAATTAAAATATCGATTTAAAAATAACGAAAATTAAAATGTATGATTAAAATCGAAGTGTATATGTACAGAGGCGCCTCTGTAGATAAAGTTACGGTTATGCACCGAATTATCTTGGCTCCCTGGCTCCTAGAGATGCGCGTTTTATAGAAATGTACTCAAACTCAACAACACAACACAACCGACCCCGCCCCATTGGCCCCCCCCCCCGCCCCATTGAGCAAAAAACCCAACTAAAATGGGCAAATTCATGTTACGATAAAAATAAAACACTTTTTAATTACATAAATTAGCCCATTTTAGTTGGGTTTTTTGCTCAATGGGGCGGGGGGGGGCCAATGGGGCGGGGTCGGTTGGGTTGTGTTGTTGAGTTTGAGTACATTTCTATATCAGAGGCGCCTCTGTACATATACACTTCGGATTAAAATAATATGTCGATTAATTGAAATATTTAAACAAAATATCAAATTCAAAATAAGAAAATATTTCGACATTTTGTATTTTCGACATTTTAATTTTCGACATTTTGTATTTTCGATATTTTGATTTTCGATAAAAAGTGTTCGATATTTTGAATTCGATAAAGTGAATTTCGATATTATGAACGTCACCCATATAATACATATCTAATTTTAAAATAAACATATTGTTCATATTATAACTTTACCTATCGTTTTTCAAAAGAAAGATAACTGTAATTATGTAAAATAATTCCAATTATAGAAATATTTTTGCCTGTGTATTCATGTTTTTTTATTTGAGTTTTACAATGAGCACTAAATGAAATGAATTTGCGACAATGTGTCACTTTCTTGCAGTCATTAGGGGATTTTTTTTTGCAATTTTGGAAACACAAATTTTGACACTTAAGATTAAGCTGATATTTGGTAGTCCAACTGCAAAATTAATTTATAAATCGCAATATAAATCACAATTTTACAATATTCTAAATTTTTTTTATTTTTAATAGAATTCATAATACATTATTTGAAAAAAATCCAAAAAGAAATCTTTAGTTTTATGGTCAGCAATACTATCCTACGTATCTACATCTTTAGTGAAGGTACTTTTCTTCTTTGTTTAGGTGCAATCCAAACGGTACCAGCATCTTTGACACAACTGTAATCCATATACCAAGAAGAGCAAATATCAGTGCAGCTTTCATAAAAAGAAAGGATTCATAATCATTTATATTATGATGTAAAGGTCACATGCTCTTCCTTACTTTATTATTTAAAATTTTTTAATAATTAATTCTTTTCCATCAAGAATACTAAAAAATAATGCTCTTTCAAATTTGGTTTACTTTTCAGAAGCAACAAAAAACTTTTTGTTTTCAATGCATTAATAGCAAATCGATTTTGTCTTTTGTGTGTGGTGCATCGCACTTTCATCTCTGGGACATTGCTCGATGAAAAGTTTGAAACATAGCTGACTTTGACCCAGGAGGGACAAAGTTGAATTCCGGGTATAGAAATATACCTGTATTTTTTAACAATATCGCAAGCTTCTGCAAGCATTGAAATTTTAACACAATAAGGTACATAAATAGAGCTACAAATAGGGTAAATTTTATTTAAATCGGGCAAAAATTAATCATGCTTTATCACTTTTAATTTTAAAATTATCCGAATTTTGGCTGAAAAATCGATTTATTTTCGATGAAAGCAAGATTTTTAGTTTAATAAAGACCCATTACCAACTATCCTTGCTTAAATTAGAAGTATAAAAATATATATATAAGAATTTGAATGTGCCCATATCTAAAAAAATGGTTTTTTGTTTACATCGCAAAAACAAGAGCTGATTGAGCAAAATAATGTTCATTTTTGGATTCAGCCTACTTAAATTACCCTTAAAAAGTTGTTGGTTGCCGTGCACCAAACAGAAATTTTATTTCTGTCGGCCTGTGTATATGACTATGACAAGCAAGTTTCTTGTAAAGCACAGGAAAAATAGGCTAGTCAAATTTATTATTAATATTTACCTATTTTTATTATATACAAATGTTGTTATCTACTGCAAATGTAAATGTTTAAGTTTATCATTTTTATTTGCCAAAATTTCAATATATTTTATATTTTATAAAACCTATTAATAAATAATAGGAAACTACTGATAAATATTTATTTTTAAAATGCATAATTTTTTATATATAAATAGACTTAAAAAATGCTCGTGCAAATTGTAACTTGAAAAAAAAATGAATTTATTAACCTTTGCTATAGCCCTTACATTTTTTGTAGTATGTTGCAAGGTAAGATAAAATTACATTAATACCTATACATAATATTATACACAATTACTAGTATAAATACTATAAGTAAGTATTAGTATTAATAATATAACTTTATTGCAATATAATAAAATAAAATAATCTAAATATTATTAAATTCTAGATGTTACGTAATTTATACGATACAAAATTTTAGTTTGTATCTAAATAAAGTTTTTCTCTTTTAGACTGATAAAAGTACTGAAATTTCAAAACATGCCCATGAAACTTGCAAAATTCGAAGTGGAATTTCAGAAGGTACACTAAAAATTAATTATGCAGGGTGTGTCAGAACTTAATCAAAAAAATTACCAAATTATTATTAAGTTAATAGAACCAGAAAAAAATAAGTAGAAAAGTTTATATAAACTTGTTTGTTTTAAAGATACAGGGTGGTAAAGTTATTACAAAAATATTATTTCTTTCAACAATTTTACTCCTTGGCCGAATGTAATAAAACTTTTAAGGTTTTTAGTGATGGGTAGAGGGCTTAATTTAATGAAAATTTAGTATAGTTAATCTAGAGGGGCATCAAAACTGGATAATTAAAAATAAAATTTTGGTATGGTACGTCTTTTTTATAAGTTGAATAATATTCTTAGATTATTAAATAAACCATATATTTTTTGTCTATTTATTTTTTTCCTATCTTGTTTAATTTTTAAAAAAAATATAAAATTTGTTTATAAGCTCGCCCCTGGAAAAATTATAGCCACGAGCAAATAGTTAATTGCTTATTTTAAATATAATATCAATCTCATGAAAAGGAAGTGACGTGATCACAATTTTTTATTAGGTATTCGATATTTTGAAAACGAAGCTTTAAAGCATATAAGTTCATAAAAACTTTTCTTCTTATTTTTGCGTGTTTTATAGACTATTTAATTTTACGGATGTTTAAATTTTCTAATATTTTAAGTTTTGTTTATAAACAAAATTTTATTAATTTTTGGATCCTAAAACACAACCTAAATTATTATTTTTAGATAAACTAAATCAAGCCAGTAAGGCTAAGACGAAGGATGAAATTCCAGAAGGAAAAGATATTGAATGTTATATTAAATGTATTTGGGTAGAATTTGGTGTGGTAAGTAAAAATAAATACTAACAAGTTTCATTAAATAAATATATGTAATGTGACAATAAAAAAGAGCCATAATAAGGGAAAATCAATTATTGTGTATACCTAAATCGACATTAACGATCACTATCTTGAATGTCAAGCTCAACGTTTAAGTGTATTTTGCGTACACTGCTTCTCCATATGACTCCCTTATGACTGGACTCTGCTTTGCAAGTTTATTAAAATCTTTCAACATGTTTTAGTCGTTCTTCAATGTTTTTATTATTTTAGTTAGATCCTAAAACAGGAGAATATGATGAGCAAAATTTTATTAAGAATTATCCCAAAGAATTTGTAGAATTATGGCTGAACATTTCTAGGCCGTGTCATATTACAAATTGTAAGTATTTACGAAATATTAAAATATGTCATATTTTAATATATTTTTTTAGTTACAAGTAATGATTTTTGTAAAGAAGCATATGACCATTATGTGTCATGTTTATTTAAGCAACCAAATGTAAGTTTTAATATTTACAAACTAATTAAAATAATAATAATTAATTTATTTATTTGTATTTTTAGTTCTACTTCATTTAAACGAATAAAACAAAAAATATACTCTTATAAGAGTTCTATATTCTATAGAATGAATTAGTCAAAAATTTATTTTATAACTAATTATAAGTCATATTTGACTAATTGTCATAGCGAAAAAGCAGTCACTAATAATTAGTCAAATTCTACTGAATGAAGTAACTACATTGGTAGATTTAAATTTAAAAAAGTTCTGACCCAGGGGTTTGAACTCAGGTCTGTCGCTTGTCAAGCGTGTGTCATAACCAAATTGGCCATCAGTCACGTTCATAAAAATCGATTTTATTTGTCTATAAATACTGCTCATAATATTTTAAAGTTAAATGTATTTTTCGTGTTGCTGTTTTGAGCTAAACTTTTTGCATATTTGTTTGTTTTTATGGACCATTTAACCATGGAGCCTATATGCAGTTAACTCAAACAATAATTTTTTGTTGGCCGCAAACGAATTAGTTTCTTTAAAAAATTATGGCTAATCTTAAATTATGGCTAATCTTAAATTAGTCAAACTTTAACTATATAAGTAAGTCAAACTTTAACTATATAAGTAATAAAAAAAAACTATTTAAAAGTGAAAACGACTATTTTATTATTTAAAAATGCTGGTACTAATTCAAATAGTAGAATTTTGATTATTTCATTTTAAGAGAGTAAAATTTATTAAAATACATACATGTTTTTAAAAACAAAATAAAGATTTAAAAACAACAATTTTCAGTTTTTTTAATGTATAAACCAGTTTTTTTACTTATTTATCGTTTGCAAACATCAATATAATGTTTTACCTACACGGAAAAAAAAAATAAATTAAATTTTACAACAACCATATTGTAAAAAAAATGTTTAATTATTTAATACAATTGTTTTGAAATTAACTAAAACTTAAAGCATTTATATCAACGTATAATTTATTTAAAGTACACAATTTTGGAGCACGGCAAATCTGTATTATTTTTAATAAAGAATGGCATTAGTCAATACAATTTTTATTAAAATATAAAACAATATTAATTTAAAACAGAAATTGTAGTAATTTAACTACAATATATAATTATATTTTCAATAAATTGTTGTTTATTTCTATTACAAAATTGTTAAATTATTTCCAACAAATTGTTCTTGGTCGTATTTTTTAAACAATTTATACCAGAAAATTCTACAATTATTGTAGTACTTTCCACAACATTTTTTTTTTCGTGTACGTATGCTTGTGGTTAATAATAACGTTCCGTCTTGAATGCGAGCACTGCAATGACTGGCTACTTTTGAGGCTCAAAAGTAAAAATTTTAGCCGTCTAGCAGATAGTGACGATAAGCTAGACTCTAGCTTATCGTCACATCAACCGTCTAGACGCGTATTGGTAATGTGCTGTGATGTGTTGCTTCTGACCAACTTGTTCTTCATCAATTTTTGCTTCAGCTTCCTTTCGTCGTTATTGTTAATTGTCCTGACCAAACGGTTTGCTGACTTCATTTTGAGAAAATAGTCGTTTTTTCCCTTGGGTGATAATCAACAAAAACTTGTGTACGCTTTTGCTCGTACTTTTATTTTAGAATAATTTATTCCAAGTTTTATTTGTGGAAGTTCAGTGTCCCATTATTTAGTCTTCTATTTAATCGTTAGATTTTAACATAAAGTGTAATGTAGCGAATTTCTGTAATCAAATATTTATCGTCCTTAAATGTTAATATTTCCGAAACAGTTAAAGATAGGTATAGGACATTTTACATTAAATATTTAATCCAAAAATTTAATAATATACCAATCGACGTACATACACTGTTCAAAATTTCATGACCATTTTAACACCAAATTAACACCAAACATGGTCTATATCGAATCGATATTATCGATACAAACCAAAATGGTGTTAAATATGGTTCGTTGGTCCAGTGTAAATTCAAATACTAAAATTGTGTAAATTTAACTTTCACACAGTATTAAAATAAATTTTACCTGGTGTAAATTGAACTCCTTTTTAGTGTAAAATAGTATGTGTTTTTGGTCAAATTAAATCATACTACACAGAAAAAAAGGGAAAAAAAGGAAACAGGAAGTTCCTTGACGAATTACTGGTATATTATCAGTGGTATTATTCCAGAAAATTGAACCATCAACTCGCTAGAGATAATGTTTTTAGTGCTTACCACCAACTTAAAATACTTTAAGTATTGACAGCTGTTTCCATCTATTTAAGATCTCTTTAATATCGAACAACTTGAAGTGTCACACCAAAGCCAAGGACTACCTGAGCTTATATACTCTTCATGTAAGTCAACATAGGCGAGATTTAAGAACATCACGTGATCCACACCGTTTTGGTGCTTGCTGTATATAACATTTTCAACCATAATTCATGGTGGTTAATTAACACCACTTGGTGTTGGATTTTGACACCATTTTAAGATTGCGCCAAAAAAATTAAAACGGGTTATTTGTGATTATGATGATAAGAAATGCTTTCAAGGACCTGATTTAATCCTTATCTTTTAAAAAATGCAACATTTTGTTATTTTCTTCATTATTTTGTAGAATTAAAAGAAAATAATTATGTAAGTGGGTGTTAAAAAAATAAGTAGACAATTTTTATGTAGGATAAAAAAGGTTGGTATTAGCGCTAAATTAAATAAAAAACTTTAATTTACTATAACGAGTGATAGTTTTTACCATAACCATTAATTTTCTTAAGAATTACTTTACAAAAAACATTTTTGTTAAATTAATAATAAATTTAAAGAGGACATAAAAAAATCCCGTTTCTAAAACCTTGGCCTCGGCTGGAACTAAAATTTACAGGCTCATATTGGTAATAAGATACGCTATATGATAGTCAAAAATGTAGGCGTAACTCAGTGAAACTTTTTTTAAAACTCCATCTAAAGTTATACTTTTAATTTTTTTTTCGTAAAATTTCTGTTTCATAAAACATATATTCTAACTTTTTTGTGCATAATTTGTGTAATAAGAATTATTACATATTAAAGTATATACCATAAGCTTGCAAACACAACTTAAAAAACTTTTGATTTTACATTTACACCTTTTCCAGTTGATATTCAGAAAGTAGGAATTGTAATTCAGTTATTCCAGTTGATATTCAGATAGTAGGAATTGTAATTCAGCTATTTCAATTGATTTTAAGAGAGTAGCATATGTAATTCAGATAACACAATTGAATTTAAGAAAGTAGCAATTGTAATTCAGATAGATTTGTTTACTATTGTCAATTCCATGGAAACAAAGCAATATACATATATGTATACAAAGAAATACATTACACCTTTTCCAGTTGATATTCAGAAAGTAGCAATTGATATTCAGAAAGCAGCAATTGATTTTCAGATATTGCAAATGAAATTCATAAAATAGCAAATGTTATTCAGATATTTCAAATGATATTCAGAAAGTAGCTGATGTAATTCAGATATTGCAAATGATATTCAGACAGTAGCAATTGATATTCAGAAATTACAAATAGTATTCAGACAGTAACAATTGTAATTCAGAATATGTCAATTGAAATTCAGAAATTAACAAATGATAACATTTTCATACTTCATTTTACTTATTTTCTAAAATCTCAATTTAATGTATTTCTTTGTATACATATATGTATATTGCTCTGTTTTCATGGAATTGACAATAGTAAACAAATTTATCACCATTTAATTAGATATATTTGTCATAATTGTCAAAATATTGCAAGTAAGGACCGAATTTTCTTCATTTGTACTTTATATAAATTTCATTTATTTAGTTAATAAAGATAACGTGTACTTTCATTCATCATCGATTTACTGTATGCAACCCACTGTTCCTGAAACAATTGCTGCGGCTGAATTACATTTGATTTAATCTGAAAACCATTTTCTACTTTCTGAATTACAATTGCAAGTTTCTGAAAATCAATTGAGTTATCTGAATTACAATTGCTACTTTCTTAAAATCAATTGTGTTTTCTGAATTACATATGCTACTCTCTTAAAATCAATTGGAATAGCTGAATTACAATTCCTACTATCTGAATATCAACTGGAATAACTGAATTACAATTCCTACTTTCTGAATATCAACTGGAAAAGGTGTAAATTGAGATTATAGAAAATAATAAAAATGAAGTATGAAAATGTTATCATTTGTTAATTTCTGAATTTCAATTGTTACTGTCTGAATACTATTTGTAATTTCTGAATATCAATTGCTACTGTCTGAATATCATTTGCAATATCTGAATTACATCAGCTACTTTCTGAATATCATTTGAAATATCTGAATAACATTTGCTATTTTCTGAATTTCATTTGCAACATCTGAAAATCAATTGCTACTTTCTGAATATCAACTGGAAAAGGTGTAGTCAGAGGACAAGCACTACCGTTGAGAAAATTAAAATATCAATAGTAACCGTGGAGAAAGAGATCCATTTTGTCCACAGTTTAAGATAAAAATAAATTCTTTAATATGATTAGAAGTAGTTGTTTTAAATTTATCTTCCATAGACCTTGAAAAGTTTACTCTGCCTTTTGGCAGGTGTTTTAAATAATGAATAGGAAAGGATAAAATGAGGATTTTGTTTAATCTTTCTTCTATAAATTTTTGCCCTTTGTACTCATAGGTGTTTGATGGTTTTGAGAAAATCAAAGTCGGGCTGTGCACAGGCTTTAGCTTGCAAACAAAACACGAATTGTGATTGCAGAGCACGTGAAGTATTGTAAGAAGAGTGCAGCCAGTCGTCTATCAACAAAGAGCCAAAAACCGAAGCCACTAACGAGAAGCGTCGACCTAAAATCGTTTACATCAAAGAAACTTTTAATAAAACTTCTTTCCAAAGAAGAATTTTACATACTAAAGAATGTCGAATTAATTACGGAGAATTATAGGGAAATATTAAAATTACGTCCAAAATTGCTACTGCAACAGACAAAGAATCTGTCACCATAAAAGACATTTTTGCTGCAAGAAACTTTAATTTTTTTTATTATTATTTTTACCAAAATTAGAGTAAAAAGTTATTTAAAATGCACGTTTACAATTTTTAATTGCCAAAACAATTTAGAAAT